AGTTTCTGCAAGATTTCCCTCAGTACCTTGAATCTAAAGTTTCTGCAAGATTTCCATCAGTACCTTGAATCTAAAGTTTCTGTAAGATTTCCCTCAGTACCTTGAATCTAAAGTTTCTGCAAGATTTCCATCAGTACCTTGAATCTAAAGTTTTTGCAAGATTTCCATCAGTACCTTGAATCTAAAGTTTCTGCAAGATTTTCCTCAGTACCTTGAATCTAAAGTTTCTGCAAGATTTCCTTCAGTACCTTGAATCTAATGTTTTTGCAAGATTTCCATCAGTACCTTGAATCTAAAGTATTTGCAAGATTTCCATCAGTACCTTGAATCTAAAGTTTCTGCAAGATTTCCCTCAGTACCTTGAATCTAAAGTTTCTGCAAGATTTCCCTCAGTACCTTGAATCTATAGGTTCATTAAATATCCCAATCAGTACAATTTACTTTGAATCTGAAGGTTCAAAGAAATCCCCATTGGTCTGTTGTAACTCAAAGTTTTAAGAAATCCAATTCAGTACCTTGAAATGTCCAGTACCATGTAACTCACCTCTGTAAAGGCTGGGCCATCTGCATACTTCACTGTGATAAACATATCTTCTGTAGACTTTGTCACATAGAATGCCATGGGGTCTCGGTGGCCATACGTCACAAATACCAGGGTCAAGGTGAAGGTCACGTAGAGCACCAGCTCCACCAGTATTTGATGCATCCTCCTCTCTTTCATCCGTATGTGGCGCATGTGTTCTACCACGGGCTCTGGAAGAGGCTTGTACATGTGCTGAGCACGCTTTCGTTGAAGATTCTTTCGCCACTGAGTCATGTTTTCATCATCTAGGTATTTCTCATCTTCAGCTGTGGAAAAAATCAACAGAGGTTAAAATCCTGGGGTGGCTTTGAGGAGAGTGTTAATTAAGGTTGTGTTAGCTGAGATTATCACAATTATGTTGGTACAACCAGATGTAAAGATTTGTGGGACAGACTGGAAAAAAGATGAATGGTTGATGATGACTAGCTGCTCTTAGGAGTTTACATGGCCACATATATAGTCATATATAACATAATATTGTACATTTTGCAAGTTGGATATAATATAAAAGTATGTTTCTGGATATTAGAAATTCTTTAAGTATACCATATGATAAGCTATGAACAACTGGAAAAACTAAATATTATGTCACATGCAGTGATGCCGATACTGACAGAAGTTGATGCTGGTGAAGATGGATGTGACTTGTTGCCAAAAGCAGTTAACCTACAGAACAGAACAATGCTGTGAAAACTGGTAACCCTTTTTGTGTTTATGAGATTGAAAGGGTACACACCCCACCCACGGGTATACAGCCCTACCCACAGGTACAAAACTTTACCGACAGGCACAAAGCCTTACCCTCAGGTGTAATCTTGTGTCCTTCATCTGCTCCCATCCGTTTCTTCAAGATCAGGCTCACAATCAGTACAATCAATAGAACCTGCAAAGAAAAATGATCTGACCATTAATAGCTCAGTTACACTGTATCTAAATTAACTTAATCTTTAACTCTGTATCAAAACTGTAATATGGAAATGTGTGATAACTGTTATTACTGATTAAGGTTTTTTTTTTTAAATCAAAACTTTTTGAGATGAAGTAAAATTATTATTTATTAAAGTAAAACATTGCAAAATAAACCTTATAATTACAGGGTGAATGTTTAGATACTCTCTCGTCTTCTGTCCAAGGACAGGGATTCTTTGTGAAGACAGCCAGGTGCCAAGATAGCAAACAGATTACCTTGTGTTTTGAGGTGGAATGCTACACATTGAAAAACACTGTTAAAAAGATTACGCCAGCATCAAAATCCCACCAAGTTCCTTTTTACCTTTATTGGCTGTGTAATACACACACTTTGGAAGAACCCTGTAAAGAAGGCGACCACCCACTGCAGGCTCTTCGTGTGTCCATATCGTAGTCCATACAACGCTGTGAAGTAAGAACAGATCAGACAGGTTGACACTGCCACCACCCAGGCTATGTAGATACACCACCATGGTAGTCTGAAGACAAAGTAAAGCTACAAGTTAACACTGTCACCACCCAGGCTATGTAGATACACCACCATGGTAGTCTGAAGACAAAGTAAAGCTACAAGTTAACACTGTCACCACCCAGGCTATGTAGATACACCACCATGGTAGTCTGAAGACAAAGTAAAGCTACAAGTTAACACTGCCACCACCCAGGCTATGTAGATATGCGTGCCATACTGGTAGCCTGGGATGAAGGGAAAGTTATAAAGATGCCCTGAAATTACCCTTTTAATAGGGATTGATGTTATAGGGATTGATGTTGCCAATGTTGGCGATGGCAACAGACAGTGATCAGAATACATTCAGACAGTTACAAAGTTTCTGTATATCTAAAGACACTACAGCTAAAGCTTTTTATGTACAGACACAGATGTGTCTGTACATATTGCCATCACCTGCGTCTGTCGTTGCCATCGATGCCGATGCCGTCGCCAATGCCGGCGCCGTGCACTTTCATTGTAAACACGATAAGTGGAAAACAGTTTTACTTTTTGGCTTTATATTTACAGAGCTGATGAATATTCATAAAACGCAGGTCAAGTTCGAAAATCAGCATGATCGGGACATTATTGTAGAAGTTATGCTGTTTTTTCACTTTTTAGCATATATACAACACTGTAAACACATTTCAAGAAAAAACCGATAGGCCTGTTATCTTCAAACTCACAGGAGTAATCAATCCAACTTAAACGCAGGTCCAGTTTGAAAATCGGCATGATCGGGCCACTATTTTAGTAGCTATGCTGTTTTTTCCACTTTTTAGCATATATGCAACACTGTTAACACAATATAAGAAAAACAGATATGCCAATTGTCATTAAAATCACAGGAGTGGTCAATCTGACTAAGATGCAGGTTGAGTTTGAAAATTAGCATAATTGGGTCATTGTTTAAGAAGTTATGCTGTTTTTTCACATTTCCTCAAATTCAATTCTTAGGCATGTTAACAGTCTTATTATTTAACTAATAAGACACATAAAAGTGTTTGTTTGACATTTCCTGCATCTTTACAACATTGTTAGTTGATT